CATTCAGACGGTGGGTGTTCCTCAAGGGTCCGTTCCCTACGCATCTCTTTTTCTGCTACATATTAATGATCTGCTTATGCCTGGTAGCTATGGATATGCAGACGAAGAGCACAGTTGTGGAGAGATACCAAGTGCTTAGACCAGTCGGGATCAAATCCAGTTCGAAAGAGAAGCTATGGTTGAGAGTGTGAATCTCACACCACAGGCAGTCTCCGATTGGGCTGATGCAAATCTTGTGAAATTTGTCCTCTAAATCATAAGCATGTCTCATCACTGCATAAAGGAGCCAGCTCACCTCGGCTCCTTCTTTCCTAAATGTGTCACTGGAATACACCGACCGCCTTCAGTTGAGATATTCCCAATCTCAAAATTCGGGTGGTTCATTGAGTCCAAGGCCAAAGCAACTGCAAGGAAGCTAGGAGTCCTTGCAAAGATGCGGCGGTACTTCACACTAGGACAGCTGCTTACTCTATATAAAATGCAAGTCCGATCGTGCGTTGAGTATGGGCTGGTGCTGCACAATACCACCTTGCTTTGGACTCAATGAAAAGGCGTGCTAAGAAGGTTATTGTTGACCCGGATCTGGTTAAAACCAATCTTACCAGCCTCGAAGACAGGCGCAAACTAGCCCTTCGGTTTGCTACAGGATGCACTTCGGTGAGTGTACGAAGGAATTGCGTAACTTAATTCCTCCATCTCCCTTCCACCATGAACAAGCAGCGCTCGGCCAGTCTGCACCCTTTCGTTGTTGACTTACCACTCATTCGAACCAAACGGTTTGCTACCATTGTTCGTCATGCGTGCAGCAACGGAATGCAATAAGTTGCCGGCATGTCTTTCCATCCGATTACAGTGTGTGTTTCTTGAAGGCAAGAGTGAATAGGTTTTAGTTAAGTCAGTGCGCTTCACGATCTTAGGCAACATCACCACTTATTGGATTGTAGTTAAGCGCTGGCCTAAAAAAAAAGCCTGTGTGCAGTTCACACGCAGTAGAAGTGAAACCTTCAGAAAACTAAACTTCGAGAGATTGAGACGAATTCAGGGTATCAGAAGTAGGATAATTGTAGGGCTTATGTAATAAAAATATAAATAAATTTATAAAAACATGTGTGCAGTTCACACACGGTAGAAGTGGAACCTTCAGAAAACTAAACTTTGAGAGAATGAGACGAATGCAGGGTATCGGGAGTAGGATGATTGTAGGGTATATTGTAATATTGTTACCAAGTTATTTTACAAAAATCAGTTTACAATATATTCTACATAATATATTACATTACATATTATACAGACTACAAGTTTTAAATTTTATCACCATAAGTACTTAAATATTTACTAATCAACAAATTTCGTCCCTAATTTCTACTTTTCATAGAACACTTTATATTGTATTCTATCTCATTCTCTTGCAGGCTAAATCCTATATGTCGGTCTCTTTTTCTACCGACTTCAAAAAGGAGCTGGTACTCAATTCGACTGCATTTTTTTTATGTGTGTTACCTCATAACTTTTTACTGGGTGAACCGATTTCGATGATTCTTTTTTATTTGAAAGCTGGTGCTTCACATGTGGTTCCATATATTGATCAAGGTCTGACCAATAGTTTTTGGGTTATTCTTAATAATTTATATTGAAGTGGGTTGTACAAAATTTTGAAATTTTAAATTATATTGTCGCTTTTTCGTTTCATCGTATTTCAAATCACAACGGTTCTAAAGAAGCTTGCACTTCAAAGAGACTGGCCGCCTTGATCGAAATCTGTTTGTGGATATTATAATAACGCGTGGCTTACGTCCATGAACTCTTTAGTTATTAAGTAAGTAATTATCGATGTCAAATAACCACTCCTAAGTATTTTAAGCATAACAGGAGTAGTTAGAGGGAATATTAGTAATGTTAGTAGCATTTCTAGTACTTTTTTTTTTCAAATAAAAAAGTTCGAATTTCGAACTGCCTTTTGTTTCCGCTTTTAAAGCATTGTACACGCAAGTTCGTATAACACCAATCAAGAATATAGAGATTCATCGACCACGAGAATCGAAAGTCGTCAGGAGGGATCATTTTCACTTTTCACGTACATCATTGTTTTTAAAACGCGGGAAATCACACGCTCGTTAGTGCAATTAAAATTCACTATGACTGCCATTTACTACTTACTGCAATGACGAGTACCTACTTTCTAGAATTATACGTGTTAGAGTCATTTTATACGTGGTAGAGCCATGTTGCAACTATATGAATTGTATAGTTGTAGTACGAATGGGTTGGCTCCACCGGGGAAGGACCACGCTCTCACAGAATACCAGAGAGCTTAATGCTGCTGTGTTGCGTATGATGAGTGTAGAAAACCGGAGACTCTTTTTACTGAAAAAGAGGGATTCCATCTTCGTCCTCACGGTTGATAACGCATATGCATTTTGATTCGCAAACGAGGATAGATGTAGATGTCTATGGGCCACAGCAACCACTTATCGATTGTCACCCTTTTCCTATAAAAAAAACATGCGTGAGTGTCGTGGAACACTCGATTGGAACGCAGTTCCTTTCGTAGTATATTATTATTGATAAAGTTATTATATAATTGATTGACATTTAAAATAAAATAATATTTATTTCCTGGCAAGATAAGAGAATGTGCGAGGGAGATGGACATTATTCCATCTCGCTTCCTTATAGCCACCAAGGTCGTCTACACTACGTCAGAAGGGGTCGTGACGGAAAAATCTTACATTTTTTCTCGCCTAGAGCCCATCCGCCAAATTCGTTCTGTGCGTTAAGGAACTTCGTTCCAAAAAAAAAATATTCTATCTCTATCACTTTAAGTCAAAGTGACTGTGACACCACGAGACTTAATGAAATCTTCATAGAATTCTATGGAAATCTTAAATTTGAGTTTGATTTAGGCATTTGGCCATCAGAGACTCATAGCGGCCCTCACTTAGTTCAGCCGTCTCTGATTTCGCCCCAGCTCTAAACGGCTTTCTTTACAATTGAATAATTTATCGTACTCATACATAAAAAAATTACAATTGACCCACAGGTCATCCCTGGAACTTCCTACTAATTTCAAATGCGAAGAGCTCCAAATTCCACCTATTATGACGTTAAACGTAACGTAACATATCATAATATTGTTACATCAAAAAGGGATTCGAGAAGAAATTTCAGTTATTTGAAGAAAATACTTTTTTCGAAATATTTGATTGACGATTTCTCTTCAACGCATCAACCGATTTTGATGCGGTTTGTAGCAATCGACAGCGTTTTATCAGTTTAAGAGCTGATTAGATTTTGGAATTGATGATGTCTGTGTGATTTTGGAATTGGTGATCTGTTTAAAGTTATTTCAAAAAAACATTTTTTTACAATTTTATATTCGAGATTTCTCAAAATCTACCGGTCGGAATCAGTTCAAATGGTATAGGAAATCTAAGTTTGGTGAAGCCCTTTCGAACGCCGCCAAGTTTGTTCACATCGGTGAAGCCATTTAAAAGTTACGATAGGGTTACATCTTAAATCTTAAAGATTTAAAAAAAGAAAAAGGAAATTAATAAAATAAATGGTCTTTGATGGTTTAAATTTAAATAACGCCACCTTAATAGAGTCTTTCCAGGCAATATCGCGGTGAATCGCTAGTATGTTATAATTACATAATCAACTGAGAGTAAAATTAATAATGCGTATAGCAGAGCAACGTTTTGCAGTTCCGGTTAACTCATTTTTTGTTACCTCATTAGATAATCTTTGTTTCACCGTAGATGTCAAACTTGTTTTATCGAATTTCAGCTGGTTTGAAACTTTAATGAACATTATAATTTACAATCGGTTCGAAATAAATGTCCATAAAGAGTTACCAGAAATATGTATCCATTCATTACCAGTTCTGATGTAATAATGTTGGTGATGATGATGAATAGACGTGAAATAATAATGGTAGAGCCACACTGCAGCTATATTATGTTTGTAGCACAAATCGGTCGACTCGACCGGAGTAGGATCACGCTCTCACACAATACCAGTGAGCAATAACAGCTCAATGGTTGCGTTTCGTATGGTGAGTGTAGAGAACCGGAGACCCTTTTTACTGGAAACGAAGCATTCCATCTTAGTCCTTATGACAATAATTCTAAATCGGTGATAGATGTTTATCAGTCACAGCGTCCACTTACCATCAGGTGGACTGTGTGCTCGTTTGTCACCTTTATTCTATAAAAAAGGGCCGTTTACAAGTTCACTGCTGAAGATTGAACTCTCCCTAGTTATTCGCCTCTCCACACTTATTCACAGTTTACATTTAGTATCTCTTAACCCGCCACTACATAGTACATGGACGGAGCATGTAGTTGGTGTATTATTTAAAGTATTCTACATACTACTATACATTTTAAAAAAAACTTTTATAATTTACTTTATTAAAATTTTGAATCTAAATATTTATTTATTTACATTGTTAAAACATAGTATAAAATTAAAGCTAACTACAAGTAAAAGTTCTGTGCTCAAGAAAAACTAAAAAATCACATTAAAATAAAGTGTATGTCTGTAATATCGAAATATGTTTCTATTTAGCTGAGGAGATTATTTGCATGCTATAAATATATGCGTCTGTCTCTCCAGGCCAATCTACTACAAAAATTAAAATAACGGTTCACGTTGCTGTGATGAAAGACCGCTTGTTGTACTTTCTATATATGTATATGTAAACAAAAACAATAAAAACACTCTATATATATATATATATATATCCTTTTTAATGTGTATAATTCTACGTGTACAATAAAGAATAATATATTGATAGATTTTATCCAAAAAGTCAGCTAAAATTGGCTTCCAATTAATAAACAAATTAATATAATAGCACTTACTGAATCATTCTTTGACCAAACATTGTCCCAGCAAGCCAAAAAATTATTATATATCGGTTTTTTTTTATTTTAGCTCTTTTTAGGTAATTCGTGGGTAAAACAATTAAATTAATACATACGTTTCCTTCTCTCCAGATGCCGCTGATGCGGAGGTTCGATCTTCTGGCAGAACCCTGAATGAAATGCCATCGCAACTTGGCAAGGAGGTGGAACAATCGCTGGAATCACTTGCAGACCTCATCCAACATGGAGTAGCGAGGTAACATATCAGCATTTTCTTTATTTTAATCTATATCATACACAACTTACAAACGGAATGAACGGAACCTTGGATGATTTGTGAAAGAAAGAAAATAATATTTATTTAATTTAGTATAAACAATTTAATTATATATACAATTTAGTATAAACGATATATAGAACAAACTTGTGTCTGAAGTTGAGTCTGCTGAACAAAGTCTAGAATTGGGGGCGACTAGATCTAATCTAGTTTAATTCTCAGACGACACAAGTTTGCGCGTTTACCGCTAAAAAGAACCCCTTTGTTGTATCTCCTCCGTGTCAACCGCAGCCAGTATCGGAATCCTCGTCGTCGACATATCGAGTGACGTGCAGTTTCGTAGTCACTTGGAAGAAAAGGCCAAATTTCGAAAAATCTTGGCGTGCTCAGCAGAGCGGGACAGTATTTCATGCCGACACACCGCCTGCAACTTTACAAGGCGCAGGTTCGGCCTCACATGGAATACTGTTCCCATCTCTGTGCAGGGGCTCCCCAGTGCCAGCTCCTTCCATTTGACCGCATCCAGAACAGCGCGGCTCGAATCGCCAACGACCGAGTCCTTTCCGATCGACTCCATTCATATTGCATCCCTAAGCATTTTCTTTCGCATCTGCCACGGGGAGTGCTCTGAGGAATTGTTCGGATTAATCCCAGCCGCCAAATTTCACGAACGCACATCGCGGCAGAACTCCCGATACCATCCACACCATCTGGATGATTGGCGGTCCACCACTGTACGTTTCACTAGGAGTTTTCTTCCACGTACGATCTCTCTGTGGAATAGCTTACCACCGGCGATTTTTCCGGACCGATACGACTTAGGGGCCTTCAAGAAAAGAGCTTACTCCTTTTTTAAAAGGCCGGCAACTCACCTGCAGCTCCCCTGGTGTTGTAGTTGTTCATAGGCGACGGTAGTCACTTATCATCAGGTGAGCCGTATGCTCGTTTGCCCCCTCTCCTATAAAAAAAAATAAAACTGAAATGACAAAAGATTTTGCAGTAAGTGGCTACTGCAGTCCATGGACACCTGCAGATAACTTCAAACAAAGAAGGATACAGATGCGTTGTCACCTTTGAGGACTTAGATGGAAGGCAACACAGCTCGTAATTCGTAGCCGCAATACAATACAGCACAATAAATTCAACACAACGAATTAATACTAGCTGACCAGGCAGACATTGTTACGCCCTTTACGTCGACCATTCATCCTATAAAAAGTCCTGAAATCTGCAATAAAAATATTGAGGGTCACTTATCGGGATAAAAACTATCCTATCTCCCAAGATGGAGCAAGCAATACACATTCACAAAATTTTATTAAAATCTATTGAACGGTTTCGGAGATTAGCGTGAACGAATAGCGTGACACGGCATTTTTATATATTACGAGTGATTAGGCTGTAGTATCGAAACGGTCGCCGACTTGATACGGTTCAAAATTGCAAAGCATAAAGTTAAAAATGAAAACAGTTAACTAAATACAGTGTTATTCTGTAATAACCGGCCAAATTTGCAAAATTTGTTTAGAATAAGTAACATAAGCAAATGGTGAAGTGAGAAAAATTAATTAAAAAAAAATCTCAAACATTCTATTTTTTTTTTATCTTTTAAATTCGAAATTCGTAGTAATGGATTTTTTAAATTGATTTTATTGCGCACGCAAACATTTGTAAGGGTCGACCGGTAGGCAAAAAACTTGTTGCCCATAAATTACATTCAATTTATTATAATTTCAAATAAAAGTAGAAGCCTTATTTATTAGTATTTTCAAGAAATGCAATAAATGTATATCATTAGTATTATTATTATTTATATATTTGAACTTAAGGTTAAAATTTGGCTACTCTTTCGCATCGAAACGGTCGCCGACTCAGCATAAAGTTCAAAGTTGCAAAGCATAAGCTTAAAAATGAAAACTGTTAATTAATTATATAATTTATGTACATATAAATAAAATTTAGGTTTTAGTCTTAATATTGAGCTAACTGCCGTTAAAAACCTTAGCGGTTAACCTTAGTCTTAGCGGTTAGCCACCGTAGAGTCTATATCACCTGTGGATGCCTCGTGTAGAGGAGAAACATGTGTCGTATTATCGTCAGTGGTGTGTCTTGCCTAGTGTAGTGGTGTTGGGAGTAGCGGTGCTGGGATTAGTTGTGACGGGGATAGTGCACGCAATTGAGGGAGGGCAGGAGGTGCTCTTCATACTAGGTAAGACGCATCATTTTATTTTATAACGCGGATATTTGCGAAGTAAATTTTCCTAAAAGTTTTTATTTAATGGATTTCCGCAAAGTAACGCCTGATTCTATTAATTATATACGTAAATTACACAAGGACAGACATCAAGACCCGGAACAATTACTTCTACTCTATACAAATACTTGTTCCGTACGGGATTCGAACACGACGCCACGGAGCGTAAAAAGCTTTTAATTGGCTTATCTAGATCTTTTGCTTAATTAGACACTTTAATTAATATCATACTAAAATCTCACCACAATTTAAATAACGGTTACCTACTATGAGAAATTTTTTCTCTGTTATAATTGTATGTACATAATGAGACATAAACAATTAAACTTTTAACCTTAACCTTGAAACCGACTACAAAATAATAAAGCAATTTCTACGTAGTTTAATAACTTCTAAAATTAGGGCTTCATTTCCTTGATGCACAATCGTAGCACCGATTTCAAAATTTAGTAAAATATTGTAACTATTGAATTTTTTTATGTCAATGAACAAGCGTTTGTAGACTTACAAGTAATTGTACCGGGTCTATATGTTTCTTCCTGGGCTGTTATGTGTTATGTTATGCTATGTTAAAATTCTCCAAGATAGACAAAAAAATATTGCTACGCGAGTAACGTTTAAATAAAAAAAATCCACTTCTAAATAGAATGATCTAAGTCTGTGTATACTTCATTTGCTTATCCGAAACGAATGTGATGATTTTCTGACGCCTTAATGTTTCCACAGTTACATTTCAACAATCATGTTTTCATTCTTCTGTCTGAATTAAATTGCGTTTTAGATAAAATCTCTACGAAGAAACCAAAAAAAGATGAGATACGTGGGAATTGAAATGTAATGTAAAAATTATTCAGTTTATACTAGAAATGTGTAATCTAAAACCAAACATTAACAGAATCTACTAAGTAAATAACGTCCGCAGTTTTACCATTTTTTAAAAATGCGTGAGTACCGTGGAACACTCGGTTGGAACCAAGTTCCTTGCGTAGTATATTATTATTATTGATAATCGTATTATATTATTGATTAACAAATACAAATAAATGAATTTCTAGCGTCTATTAAAATGAAGCGTCATATGAAATAAAATAATATTTCTTTCATGGCAAGATAAGAAAAAGTGCGAGGGAGATGGATATTATTCCATCTCACTTCCTTATTTCGCCGCCAAGGCCATCTACACTATGACACAAGGGATAGTGACGATAATCTTACATTTTTTGTCGCCTAGCTCCCATCCGCCAAACCCGTACCGTCCGATAAAGAACTTCGTCCCAATATTAAAGAACAAACGAGCTTACTGTCCCACTAATAGCAAGTGGGACTGCAGACCATGGACGCTACAACCATCTTCAAACTAGAAAGGCTACAGGTGCGTCGTCACTTAGAGTATACATTGACCAATTCAATTCTATTAACCTTTACAAACCTATAAAAATCAATTATATACAGATGTGAAACATTGTTGCTAAAATAAGAGAAATTATTCTTCTTCTGCCTACCCTCAAGTTTTTTGAAATCGGCAAAGCATGTCTGCCTCTACCATTCGTCACTTGTTTCTTACATGATCATCCCTTACACAATCCATTTAACTTATATTGAGTGTCTCGTTGTCCTAAAGGTCGAGAGTGCGTGTACTGATCATGAGGTCCAGGGTTAGAATCCCAAGCCGGGCTAAAATTAGTTGTTTGGTTTTCCTGACAAAATGTTCTCAGTAGCAGCTCGGAGTCAGGAAGTTGATGGAGTTTAACCCCCATGCTTCAAAAAGCACGTAAAGTCTATCTCTCTCCACTCGTGTCGAATCACCGTCCCATCGGAATGGAGAATACACCTGTGCTTACACATACATTTGGGCGCAATAATCCTGACCTTCACAGATGGCTGGTCTCCATTGTGACTGGACGCCATGACCAAAATTGGGCCTGAATGACTTTTTTTTATAGGATAAGGGTCACAAACGAGCACACAGTCCACCTTATGGTAAGCGGTTGCTGTGGAGCATAGACATATACATCTATCCTCGATTACGAATCAAAATGCAGATGTGTTGCCACCCGTGAGGACTAAGATGGAATGTCTCTTTTTCAGTTAAAAGGGTCTCCGGTTCTCTACACGCACCATACGAAACACAGCAGCGTTAAGCTGCTATTCTAGAGACCGTTGTCTTTCCCCGGTCGAGCCGACACAATCGTACTACAATTTATACTACTAATATAGCTTCAGCATGGCAAAAGACTTTATATCCATCTAATTTCATATGCAACATTCTTCTTGTTAGATGAATATAATTGATAAAGTATACAAAAATTACTATATTGTTTTCAATTCTATTTGTGATCGGGTTCTATTAAATATATTTCTTGTATCTTCCTTTCTTTAATAAATACTTTCAACTGCAACCTCGCATTTGTCATATGCAAAAAATACAAATGTATTTTTACATACAAGTAAATTTCGGAGACAAACAACGTGTGACGGTTGCCTCGCAGCATTATAAAATGGAACAAAAGCACCGTTAAAATGTGCTATCACATATTAAAGATCAAGATAGTTATCTTTCTCACATAACGCCGGATTTGCATTTTCCTTTTAACTAACTATTTGACAATTATTCGTATACTTACAGAGTCAAAGGATTATTAGCACACTCATGAGAATATCTAGGCTAAATCAACTTAGGGCTACGTTGCAGTACTTTTAACTTTCTTGAAATGTAATTATTGTA